TGGGAGCCTAGACCCGGTGGGGCCCTCGGACCCCCACAGCTGCAGGGCCTGCTGCCCCCCAGACGTAGTCCAGTATCTGAAGTGGGGTCAGTGAGGAGGGCAGGGTGGTGCGGGTCCTGCAGGGAGGAGAGGCTGACCCACCGCAGCTGCAGGGGCTGTGAAGCATGACGGGGTCTGAGGAGTTCTGGGGCAGGCTGGGGTGGGGCCTGAGCACAGGCCGCGTGAGGGCGAGTCTGTGACTCGGGAGCAGGTGCCCGTGAGCTCCTCCACTTTGCTGCTGGGGTAGCTCCTGGAAGTCCGGAACCAACAGCAGTCCCCACTGATGGCGAGCCCGGAACACCCCTCGCGGATGGCTGAGGGGGGATCCAAGGGCTTGCCAGGGGACACTGTGCTCCGAAGGCAGTGAGGCTGCACAGGAGAGGGCACCGCAAGTTGAGAAGCCCAGCAGAGCTGCCCCCTGTGCAGCGCGCTGAGGACAGCAGACGCCATCACAGTCGGCTCCCCCGTTAGCAGAGGCAACGGAGTGGGGCGAGGGTCCCACACGGAGCACCAAGGTCAGAGGGCAACCAGAGGCCCTGACCGGCAGCTATGTGGTGACAGGCGTTAGACCAGGGGGTCCCCGGGGCAGGCTGGAAGGACAGCTGACAAGGACGCATATTCAGAACAGAACAGAAGGAGAGCAGAAGGTCGCCAGCCTCCTCCATGCAAAGCCGTGACCCTCCTGCAGCATCCAGACCTGAGGCAGTTCTCAGACCAGGACCAGAACCAGAACCAGAGGAAGGGCTGGGCTCCCTAAGGACACCCCCTCAACACCACAGCAGGTGTACAGGGCGGTGATCCCAGCCCTTCCCAGAGGGGCCCACGGCCATTTACCCCAACGTGCAGTGGAGAACGGACACGCCTCAGGACACAGGCGGCGACACCACTGGCACTAGGGGCCCGCAGCACCACCAAGGCCCCACTAACACTGGGGCTTACGGGGCCGCTGGTCAGCCCGCTGGTCAGCCCCCAACCCTGCAACGCACAACTGGGACAGACAGGCCCAGCTACCGGCAGAGCCCGGCCAGATGCCTCCACCTGTTTGGGAACAGCCACTGCAGTGGGAACCCCTGCACCCAAGCCAGACAACCCACCCAAACCACGTCGTGGATGGGATGGTAGAGCATGGCCCCCCAGATACACAGTGGGTGAAAGCGTCGCTCCCGTTACAGCCCCACTTAATCCATCTGTCCACCGCCTGCAGAAACCAGATGGTGCACAGCGGCTGCAGCGGGCTCTGCACGCCCACCCTGTTCCCAGGCCACGCCATGGACTTCCACACGAGGACCCTCGGGGCCTTGCGCACTGACGTCGGGCCCCGTTGTCTCAACGACGCTCTGTGCAGTTTAACTTAGAGACCGAGGTAACCGTTGTCTCCCACCCCTTCAGAACACAGAGAACCCCCAATGCCATCACCGCTGCCCTCCTCGTCACGGCTGCCCCCAAACTACAACCCTGACCCGCACAGACACCACTGCACAGTCCCCACAGCTCTGGCTCAGTGCACGGGCACGTACCCGTGCTCCTGGGGCCAGCAGTTCTTCTCTTTGTGCCGCTCCCCAGCAGATTTCTCCAGATCCCCCCCGAGTCCCTGTCCCGTCAGCGATGCCCAGTCTGCTGACCACTTGTCCCTTCCGATGGGAATTCCAGTGACCACGTCCTCACCTCTAACAGTTCCGTGGGGCTCTTTCCCAGCTCTGCAGGGGCGTTTTTCACAGCCTTCTGTCCTGTGCGTGCACTTCGTATCCCATCTTGTTTCCACATCTGAAGTCACTACTTGTTCCACGGAAACCCCCGGCCGCTGGGACCTCGCCGCTTCTGCTGAACCTCGCTTCCTGGCCGCTTCCTCTGACGCTGAGGTTTCCCGTTAAGGACACGTGGCTGCTTTGTGTCTGTGCTGCGTCCTGAGAGGCCGAGCCACAGCGCCTTCCTCCAGAGAGAGGTCTCACCCTGAGGCCTGCGGGCTGCAGTGAGGGGAAGGGCGGGCTTCAGTCTCCCTCTCTTCTTTTCCAATGAACCAAGCTGGCACCACAACCTTCAGCCGAGGCAGCACCTCCCAGCTGTTAAGACCTTAAGACGCCAGTGAAGGCCTGACACCCAGGACTGCAGCACCACCCAGCACCGCCTGAGCGCCGGCTGTGAGCTGAGCTCTGGGAAACAGGGGGAGCAGACAGAGCCCCGCACCCCATGGTGACGCCCCCCGTGAGACCGCCACCTCCCCAGCCAGAGGCCCCTTCCTCGTGGGATCAGCTACACAATGAGAACTTGTCTCCCCAGCACTCCTGGCCTCGTCCCGAGTCTTGCAGAGTGAGAAGCGCTCCTTGTTCCTTTGCATCGTGTCAAGCACCAGCACACGCACAACTCTTCTGCTGTTTTGGGCATGTGACACAGAGCGACTGGCAGAAAGGCTGCCTGGAGTGAAAACATGTTGCAGAAACACAAGACTGAGGACAGGGCGGGGCACACGCGGCCAGTAGCCGAGCCCCGGCCCGCCTCCCTGCAGGCGGTGGGTTCTCAGTGGGAGCATGGCTGCCCTCTATCCTAAGGTTCTGTTGAAGAAACGCCTCCTGGCGGCCATGTGATGTACAGTGTGTGGAGGTGGCGGAGGCCCGGGTGCTCGGCCTGCACCCTCACTGGAGCCCACTGTTTCGTCTGGCATCCAGGCCCTGAGAGGTGGGCTCGCGGTGCCCTCAGGATGGGAGACACCCTGTGGCCGTGCTTGACTCTTACTCCTAGGTGGGAATGGCCTGGAGAAGACGTTACAGACGCGACGAGAGAGAGACGGGAGGGGGGATGCCCATGCCCAGGGCCCTGTGGCGCACCCACCACCGCACCCGCCGTCACCACAGCCCAGCGCCTGAGCCTTTCCCATGGTAACTTGAATCAGAAAACATAAACTCACGCTCAGTACACAGATTTCAGGCTAGCGTTCTGAATCCAGCCACTAGATTTCACCTTTATTTATACAATCCTATAACAAGTTTATTAGTGGGTGAACTGATTCTGATTGCTTCATCAATCCTGTTTACTATGAGCAAAGTTAAAAAATACTCAGGAACAAAACTGGTAAACTTTCCTTGGAGGATTTTAATTCTCTGTTTTATATAGATCATTTATTAAATTAGAAGGCTGAAAAGTAAAAATATATTTTACAATCAAAGAAAACTCTGGACACTGGACCCCAACAGAATCGTCAGAAACAAAGCTCTGCGCATCACTTCTGCCCCCAGCGCCGAGCTGACCCCGGAGGGTGTTCTTACACGGGGCAGGGGGCACCCTCAGGAGATGCTGAAGAGGAGGGGCAGACCTGACTCCACAGAACCCCTCTCTCCTCACTCACAGGGTCTGGGGACTGAGGTCGGAGGAGAGGTCAGTGCACCAGCTCCTTTGGGCTCCGACCTCGGCCCAGGCTGAGCCATTCGGCCCCTGTGCACACACGGGAGATGCGTGTGGCTCTGCCAGTGACCTTCGAGGAGGCCTCGGCCCCCAGATACCAGCAGCCGTCCAGGTCTGGCCCGAGTCCCCGGTGGCCTCCGGTCTGCAGCTGGGTAACCAGCCTCCCCCAGGGCCTGGCGGGGGCTTCAGAGGAACGCAACTTCCCACCAAGAGGAACCGGCTGCCTCCAACAGTGAGTGCGCAAACACCAACGCAGCATAAGATGAAGGAAAGGAGAGTCTAATTTAATGAATGAAGGCCTTACAAAACGTGATCTTTCTTTGATCTATTAAAAAAATACAGTGTTCATGAAAAAGGAAAGTAGATGTGGCAAGTTTAGAGTTGTCTTAAAACTATCATTCTCCCTCAAACTAGGGCCCCCTGCAAGTGAGCGTGCCGAGTCCCACGTCCCTGCACGTCCCTGCGAAGGGCGCTCCCGGAGTCACACACGCACAGCCTCCCTGGCGCCTCGGCAAAGGTAAGGCAGAAAACGCTGGGCCAATGGGGACGGGGGCGGCGCTGCCCGTCCTCCACCACGTCTGTCAAGGGCCCGCTAAACAATCAGAGCTGCAGGACCGCCTGACGCCACCTCTGTCAGAGAAGAAATCCGCTCCCCGGGCACAGGCCAGATTGTCGGGAACGTGAGCTCGTGACGCACGAGAAAGTGGGGCTCGCCGAGTTCAAGCAAGTGGCCTGAAGCCCCCAACCAACAGCATGTTGCCCCACTCAGGAGCCCTCACCTGGCCCTTCACCACACGCCTCCTCAGCTAACACAACAAACCCTGCCACAGCACGTCGCCCAAAACACACCCCGCGGCGACGGGAAGCGGGATTCCAGCCGATATTCAACTTCATCTGTGTGAAAAGAGGGACAAAGACTGAGACGGAAGTGCTAAGGTCCTCGCGCCAGATCGTTCATGGAGGTCCCCTGCTGGGACCCTCACGGGAAGATCGTGTATCCGAAAGCTGAGGCAACGACTAGGAAGGACTAGTGTCCAAGACTTACGGCACACTGGGACCCCAGACGTGCACCCACGCATGCACGCTCTCAATGCAAGCACACTATTGAAAGTGCATCACTTCTGAGAGATTTCTCAAATTGGATTTTCACCAGCCAACCTGTCCCCAGGCTCTGTCCGTGGCTGGGGCCGGTGCGAGATCCATACATGCTCGCACACCGCCAGCCTCTCAGGAAGACGTTCCAACACCGACATTCACCAGGCTGCCGTCTCTGTCACCACCTGCAGTCACAGGACTGGGGCACAACGCCCACTGAAGTCAATGCCAGCAGTAAGCCAACAGCTCCTAAATACCCTTTAATACACAGATACAAAGGAGTGTATCTACTACTTTTTACCCCCAATTTTAGGTTCTGTTGCAAGAGAGAGGAGAAGCAACCCCTCGGAATTACATACCACAAAATTGGCGTCAAACAGCAGGAAAGGGAAGGGGATCCCCTGGGGGGTAGGGACGCCCGCTCAGGGTGTGGCCCGCCCAGGACGCCGGCGAGCAGCAGCCCAGTCCACAAAGAGCAGTCAGGGAAGGATGAGCTTCAGTTTGGAAGTTCTAAAAATAACCCCAAATCAGCTGTTAATGGATTCTATGTGCCTTAAATTAATAGGTCTATCCCAACGAAGTCAAATAACTGCATGCTATTAATCAAACCAGAAGGAGGCTCCCGGCTTCCTAAGGCCCTGGCAGAGGCAGGCGGCTCCCACGAGGCATTCGGGAACAGCGAGAGGAAGCGCAAGGCACTTGAGGACGTACGTCCCCAAGCAGGGGGAAGATGAGAGTGTGTACACAGACACGGCCCGTGTCTGCTCTTCTCCCAACACACAGCAAGAAGGAAAGCCACCCGCACCCCAACCGATGGTCGCGGGAAACGAAAACCCACATGCACCTCACATAGGGTGTGGACCAGGGCAACACGGACGTCCGAGGGAAGGGGCTACACAGGGTCTTGCTCGTTGGGATCGTGCTCCCTGGGGAACCCCTGGGTTGGCAAGTGGAAAGGGCAGAAGGACGGGGCAGCGAGGGGCGCGATCTAGGACTCTTCGCCCATCTGGAGCAGAGAGTTGATGGCTGCGTCCTTGTTCCCTCTCTGGGCTTCCAGCACGGAGCGGATCACCTCCGGGTCCACGCTGGGGAACACGTCCTGGATGGCTTTCAGGTCCTGCTCGTTACAGCGGGGCTGGGCGCTCACGGCTGCTGGGGGCAAGGCCACGGGCACCATGCCGGGGCTGCAGACAGCGGGCATTCCTGCAAGCAGAAGACGGAGTTCAGGGAAGACAGAATGTTACCAACGGGCAAGGCGGGTGCTGGCTCAAGGAAGAGCAGGAGGCCTTCTCCTGGCCTCCCTGATCGATGGGGTCCCCTCAGGTCTCACAACCACTGAACCGCAAGGACACCCAAGAAACATGACCTCAAAAACCAACCCACAAGAGAAAAAAACACTGTAACTCTGTATGGTGACGGATGGTGACTAGACTCCTTGTGGCAATCATCTCACAGTGCATATAAACATCGAATCACTGCCGTACACCTGCAACTGATATAACGTTATGTCAATCACACCTCAATAGAAAAACAAAACCAAACCCAGCCAGACACCCAGGGGAGAAATGAGGGGTGTGCAGTCCCTCTGTCTGCGACCCCTACTTCATTTGTTCACTCCCCTCCCACAACCAAACGCAGGGCTCACCTCTACATCTCACCAAGCCTGCTTCACAGTTGGGGGCGGTAAAGACGAGGGGCTCACACACTTTGATCCCTTAAGAACTCATGGATTTATGCCATTAGCATCGATTTTCACTGATCAAAGGCCACAAAACAATTCTCTTTGAGAACAAAACAGCAGACAAAATCTTTACCCAAACATCTGAGGTTCTCAAGTCCATGCCTTCAGCACACATTCTAGAATATGTGCTTTCCCAGTTTGGCACATATGTCGTAATCATACACTGACACGGCAGGCACTGAACGCCCGGGGAGGCTGCACGCTCACATGTAGAACGCACACAACACACAACCCAGGAAAATGCCCAGGAGACCCTGAAGCGGCAGGGCAGTGCATACGGACAAGTGGACAGGAGGCGCGGGTCTCTTCTGTGCGGTCTCCCAGATGTTCAGCACCGCTGATCCCATGTAGGGCCCCTGACGTCCCCTCCTCACACTAGCTGAGTCCCCTCACTTCCTCTGTTAGACGTGGGATGACAAACTCAGAGAAGCTGAGCACTTGGAATCTATGAAGAAGAGCCTGGCAGCATCCGACCTCTGGGAATTCACCAATCCCCACGCGCCTGGTGCAGCCTGACCCCAAGTCAAAGCCCTGACTCCTCCCGACACTGTTCCCTGAGAGAACACAGATGGACCTAAGAGGGGAAAGTGTTAACGAGACTGAGCAGCTAACACAGTACATCATTCCTGGTTAAAGCCCTCTCTAAAAAGCACAAAGGGATCTAAAACCACTACTACTTTAACTTCGAAAGCACAAACAATCCTCCCAACTAAGCCCATGGGAGCAATAGACTAAGAAATAATTTTAGGATACGACTTCTATCCCTTTTCTAAATTCACAAGATCCTAAAGGCAGCCAAACACTGTCTTTAACACCAAAATTGGCAGGGAAAACTGCCAAGTGTTGAAATAAGGTGCACGATGGAGGCTGCGTTGGCCACACACGGGCCGTCTCCTAGACAGAGGAGACGGGAGCACCAGTACTCACTGCTCAAGTCCGCTCGCAGAGGCCCCAAACCACCTCTTCCCAAATCCCTCTGGGCCAGGCCTCGCCAAGCACTTGCTTCCACTCCTGACCCACCAGACTTTAGTCCTGGCCGTCCTAAGAGGCCAGTCTTCACCTTGGTCACAGGTGAAGGGCGGGTCGTCACCTCAGGTCACAGGTCCAGGGCAGGTCATCACCTCAGGCCACAGGTCAAGGGTGGACCATCACCCCACCTCACAGGTGAGGCAGTCGAGCCTGGTGAGAACAGGTCACCCAAGTCGGACCGTGAGCAGGAGGAAGGGGATCCAAGCCCAGCCTCGGGCCCAAGGTGGTGCTTCCCACCTCCGTTCAATCACGAGGAAGGGAAACCACACCACACCCTCGCCATTTTCACGACACTGCAGGTGCAAAGTGACCCTTTCTTCCTTCTCAGATGGAGGACGAAGGGTCAGGTGACTGCCTGTCCCATCTCTGAGGCAAGTGCCCGGTCTGGAGTGACCCCTCACGGCCTCATGGTGGACAGACAGCCAGGCCCTGCAGTTGGCAGAGCCGGTGCACTTGGAGAGAGGGCCGCTGCCACGCACAAGACAGACAGCGTGCGGCAGAGGTCACGGAGCGCCAGAGGTCACATAGCGCAGGGACGTACGCCTCGCCCACCCGCTGCTCCTCCCACGGCTTTCCCAAGAGGGAACGTGCGCCTGCAGCTCCCACCACCTTTGCTGGCGTCCTCACAGGCGGACCTGCTCTTTCCGGTGTTTACCAGCCTGCAGGGGACAGGGAAGAGAAGCGGTGGGTGCCCCGACAATCTATAGTGAGGAAGGTACCATGATGGCCTGTCAGGCTTTAGGAAATCCGGCCTGCCATCACTAAGAGAAAATGCCTTCCCCGTTCTCAAGAGCAAGCCCCGGTCAAAGGGAACAGAGGACCGCCACGGCCTTGCAAAGCCCGGCCAGCACGTCTCAGGGATGGCTCCCGGGAGAAAGCAGCTCCCCCTCCTCCAGACAACTCCAAGTCTGTGTGCCCGAGCGTTCTCCAGGACAAAGCGGCCTTCCTGACCTGCCAACATAACTGAGTTACAGACGTGTTCATCAAATCCTCCTGTGAGCCACGAAAGCGGACGTGTTGGGTTTGGGCCCGGCCGGGGACTCTACAGGGAAGGGATGGACAAAGCTCTGGGCCTCAGTGGAACCCAAGGCAAGTGCCCTGGGGCCTGGCAGGCGGAGAGGTGCAGCGAGCCCCAAGGCCCACGCTACAGACCCCCGTGAGGACAGGGTCCCCCTTCACGTCCTGTCTGAGCTCCTGGAATGCACGCACTCACACCAAGGAGACGCTTAACCAAGGGAACAGAAGCAGCCTCCCTTGAGCAGCGGGACCTCAGCCACAATGTCCACACCGCAGGTCTGTGTAACATGTCAGCGAAATCAAGTTCTCAACTCAATCCAACAACGTCACCGGAAAATGGAAACAACTTTCTGTTTCAGAAGAGTCAATTCTTCAACCCGACCACACTCAGACCATGCAGGCACAAGCGAGAGCACGCAGTCCCACGTAACGTGACACGTGGAAGATCAGACATGACTTTATGGCCCAAGAAGGCTAGTCGGTCGCACAGATGCAGCGACAGCCAAGCTGCACGTGACACAAGAGCCACGGCCTCAGAGATGCTTCTTGTTGAGACAGAGAGCAAAGTGGAGCCTGAGGGACATGTGCAGGCGACCTTGCAGCTCAGAGACAGCTGTGGGCTCGTGAAAATCTCTCACACGATGGCGCACGCCAAAAAGAAGACAACCTAAGTGACTGTGGTGTTACATTTCAAACCTCTCGAGTCTGCTTGATTAATAAACTCATCTCACAAGGAGGGAGAGAATTCTAAGCAACAGCTTGGGAAATTACTAAAAACCCAATTCTCACTTTAAGTCAAACCATTTACGTATTTTAAATAGTGTACAGCATTCAGCTTCAAACTTTGTGCGTTTGTTGTGAATCCCACTTATGAGGGAGAAGGTGGTTGGGCCGGCACCTGGCTGGACTTCACCTTGAATTCAAGCGCGGTTCTAACGCTGGCAGTTTATGCCTCGGAAGCCGCCAGGCCGCCTCTCTCTAGACTCTGAGAGAAGCATCTCGGAGCTGCCAGGCCAAACGCTCCAGCAGGACAGAGGGCGCAGGTGGACACAGGTCAGCTTTGCTTTCGCACTCTGTCAAAAAGCATCAGCATCGACACCTCTGGCAGCTCTACAGAAACCACAGGACCCTGCAACACAGACGTGCCCCTCGGGGTGGAGGGTTTGAGCCCAAAGAGAAAAAGGAACAGGCGAAAGCAGCAAAGCAACCAAGTGCCAGAAACAGACCGTCTTCCCAGAGCGCATGGATTTCCAGACTCAGCCAGCAAAAGCGCACTGCCCACCGCTGCCCGCGCAGAGCACACCTCTTGGGCCCAGCTCAAGGCCCAGGGCCCCTCCCTGGCCCCCCTGGGGAATGGCATCCAGCAGTCACGTCTGTGCAGGCAGATAGCACTACAGACGGCCAGGACTCGGGTGGGGACAACGGCTCATCCACAGCCTGCAGAGATGTGGAGGCAGGAGGGAACAGGCAGGAACCATGCTGACTCGAGGCCACGGTGGAGGCTGCACACCAGGCTGGGTCCCTCTGACGTCAGCGCGCACGTGCAACCCGAGAGCCAGGCGTGCACCTGGGAACGTTTCCCATCCCAGGCCAGGCTGTGACATGAAAACCAAACCTTCCAATCAACCTTCTGCATGCTGCATGGAACCAGGCAGTACAACAGCAAGGCAAAGCATTCCAGAAGTCACACAGGGCACGAGACCGAGGGCAGCACGTGGCTCAGGTGCTGGCCCTCCATCTCACCGTCACTCTCTCCTGAGGACCCCTTTCCTCTACCAACTGGCTCTGCGACCCCCAGGGCTCTCAGGCATCGCTCTAGCTCAGAAAACCCTGCAGCAAGGCAGAGAGAACTTCTGACAGGCTCTCCCCCTTAACCGGCTGCCAGCTCTCCTCACTGGACACGGGCACTGGATCTCCCACGGGACCCCCGCCCTGTAGCGCACAAGCTCCTCGGCCTGGACCACCTACACTGTGCCCGGGCTGCCTGTGGGGGGATGGGGAGGAGGCAGCACCCACAGCGACCACACCCCAGGGTCCAGCCGGTCCTCCGGGAGCAGGGTCCACAGACAGACTGGTCCTCATACACGGAGAACGCTCTGACGATTTAGCAGCAGGCCCATTTTCACCCAACTGGTTTTCTCTCTTTCCATTCTGCAGTTCCCATTAAAGAGAAAGAGCTTCATAAAGTTACATGTTTTTTCCAGATGCATCACATTTAGATATTTCTTTTAAAATTAGGATTAAAAAAACCTACAAGCAGGGCTCCTTGGAGACACGGCTGATTCCCGGCCGGGGCAGGGAATGCCCACGATAAGCCTGGAGCGTCCTGGAGCGCCAGAGAGTAAGGCAGGCTCAGAGGACAACGGGGACGTGCAGAGGACAGACAGCCCAGCGTGACAGGCTCCCTCCAACCATGTCCGGGGTGACACGAGTGACAAAATAAACACTGCTAGTAACAAGTTACAATCACATAAGGAAAAATCATAATCCACTCGAGATCTGATGAGAAACAGGACACTTACATGGTCTTAAGCGCCTCCTGCACAAAACACTTCAGAGTTAATACTTACAAAGAAGGGAGGCTGCCCAGCGAGCAGGCGGGCAGACCCTGCGATGGTGTAGCGAACAGCAGCACCGCCAGTACCGAAGTGAAGGGACTCGAGAAGACCCAGCCCGCCCTAGCCACACCCTGCCAAGGACACATGCCCAGTCCCAGGAGGAAATATCAGGCCGACCCGCAGGATCACCAGCCTGTGCTCTTTAAACACGTGGAGGTGACCAAAGCTGGAGCTGCAGGCCGAGGGAGGTGCTCCTGCTCTGAGAGACAGTGAGGGACAGCGGAAGGCCCCAGACGCACTGGGCTCAGCGCCGAGCCCGCCTGTGAAGGCTGTACTGGGCAACAGGAGGACGTCCTCGTGCATAGGAAATGCAACTACAGTTGGGGTGGGGCAGGGATGGGCATCGGGTCTCAAAAGGTTCAGGCAAAAATTCTTTCCTCTCCTTTGTAACTTTTCTGTAAGTATGTGATTGTTTCAAAATTTACAAATGTATATCAAAAGTTCAAAGTCTCCATTTATAAAGAAATCTAATCTTTCCTAAATTAAACATCTTAGGGCAAACTTGAAAGGCATTTACAAGGTGAACTAAGGATAGGAACCAGAAAAAGACAAGCAATAAATTGTATTTCTTTCTTTGAAAGCCAACTTCCCATACGTTCATACGAATATGTTCTGGTGTTGGTAACTGTGTGGGCTGAACTACGTCCCCTACAAAGATGTGTGAAGTCCTACCAGGAACCTGGGGTCTTTGCAGATGACCAAGTGAAGATGAGTGTCCTTGTAAGGCGAATGTCCTTATAAAAGAGGAAATTGGGACACAGACACAGACACCTGACGACGGAGGCGGAGGATGTCTAGACCCCCAGACGCTGGATGAGCAGCAAGGACCCTCCCCCAGAGCCTCCAGAGGGAGCTCGGCCCTGCCCACACCTTGACTGAGGACTTTGGCCTCCAGAACTGAGAGCATAAATCCTTTTGTTTTAAGCCACCTGGTCTATGGGACTGTGTTACCGCCACCCTAGGATACTAACACCTTTGGTGGCCCCTACAGACTGCCTGTTCCTCCTCAGCCTCCAACTCAGGAAAATTAAACGATAAATCTCATGAAGACTCTGAGAGGAGATCCCAGGACGGTGGTTCTCAGGCTGACCTAAGCATGAACCAGAACCCCTCAGAGGCGACGGAGGCGCCCGCTGTACCTCGTGGCCATGACTCTGGCAGGCCTGTGTCATGGGGTAGTGGCTCCAGCAGGGCTAGGGTCACCACAACATGCTCTCCAGGTCAGACTCCCACCTGGTTCTTCTCTGACTCCCCCATTCTCTGCTGAGATTCCCTTTCTTCTCACTTCCTAAGAAATTCTCCTTTAACTCTCTGAACCTGTTATGGCTCCTTTATGGTTTCTGGGTCACCTGGGTCACTATCGATCAGCTTTGTCCTGACCGCGGTCACTTTCCTGTTTCCTTCCTGGACGGCGCCCTGTACAAACTGGACTCCATTATCTTCCTCAGACGAGCGCCACAGGCAGAACACCCTAAACCTGCGATGAACCATCTAACTTAGGTTGCTGCCTTAAGCTCCCCACACCCCGCCCGGGACTGGGCTGAGGTTGGCTTAGGGTCAGGGTGGGTCCACAGCAGGCCTGCTCTACGGCAAGGCCCCAACCCCGATGCTGCGCCAGGTGTGACTGCACCTGGCCTCTCTGCTCTGGTGGGGCGGAAACCCCAGAGCACCCCCCGCCACCCCCACCCTGACGCAGCACCCTGAGCATGAACAGCCGGGCCCCACGCGCACATCTCCTCTCCAAGGCCCTGCTCCACAGATGCCCACCACTTCTGCCGCCTGGACTCCGGCCTTGGCCTCCTAGGCACCCTGCTTGGACCCCGGCTTCCTGCATCACGACAGAGATGCTGTCTCAGGCAGAGGCGGGGTGACAGTGGGGCTCGCCCCATTTCCCTTCTCCCGGGAGCCACGGTCTCGCACTGTCTGTGGCCGCTGCCCGAAAACAGCTGCCGCCTCATCCCTTTTGCCCAGTCTTACGGCTGTTCATGGCAGGAGGCTAGCAGAGTCCAGTTACTGCCACAGCCAGAAGTGGAAGCTCACCAACAGACTAACATCAAGATTTGAAAATTCAAAGGTGTAAAAGCTACAATCCAACGTGATTTTGCTGTGTTGTCAGCAATTGCTAATTTCTAAAGGTAAATAATTTACTAAGGTAAATAAACATGATAAGAATAATAACATTAGAGCACATAGTTCATTTCACCCCACAGGAATGTGATCTTTTGTCACAATAACTCATATACGTTTAGAAATTACATTTCTACAGCTCCGTAATTTCACTTCACCTTATTCGTGTCAACAGTTAGGGGAAAACACGTTCCATTTCCCACACATGCATAAAAAATTCAAATATAACACCAGACCCATTTGGGAAGGATCTTTGCGCATCCTCACGCGCCTCCCTCCCTGCTCTAAGGCCCTCCCAGGAGCACCTCTCAGGGAGGGGAGGGGCACATACCTGTGAGAGGCACATAGCCGACGCCCTGCTGGTACACAGTGGGCATCAGGACCACGGGCTGAGGCGGCATCATCATGGCAGCCGGCAGGGACTGAAACACACCAAAGTCGATCCCGAGGTCACAGAAGAACACACCACACGTCAAAACCCCACCACTTCCAGTCTCGCCAAAGCCATCCTGGGAGGGACAGCATGGGGCCTGGAGCCCATGACGGGACCTGAGATGGAGGAGCGTCTGGCCAGCCACGGAGCCCCATCAAGCTCTTCAGACGCCCGCACTGACACCCCCCATGACTCTGCTGGGAGAGAAGGGGGTGAGTGACTCGCACTAGAAGACGCTGTAAGACTGACAGCCACGGCGAACAGACGTGATCAAAGAACGTGGCTCAAGAGTCAATGCAAGGATAAAATTCAGGATCAATGCCTGTAAGGTTTTACGAGACTCCTTCTAAGGTTTTAACTATGTAGTTAAGTGTAATACCAACTTCGTGTTGACATAAAAACGTAAACACGTTTACGTATAAGGGGGGCCACCGTGAAGAGCAGGGCGGCTCTTCTCGTGACCACCCCCGAAACCCACAGGCTTGCCTTTCTGTCCCCGCTGAGCTCCTCAGGGGTAAGCTGTTCCAGTGAACTAGAAGAGGAGGTGGCCACGAGCCACCCGGGGCTGGTGAGGCACTCACCGCGTCTGCCCGCCCCACCGTCCCCAGGCCCCCACCATCCCCAGGCCCCCACCGTCCCCAGGCCCTGCCCCACCGTCCTGGCCCCTCACCGTGTAGGACAGGACCAGGTTGATCATGCCCTCCTTGTCGTCCCCCTGCCGCCCACTCAGGCTGTACCATTCATCCAGCACCTTGCCCTGCTTCAGGGACTCAGGAATCGTGACATGCGTCCAGGCAATGCGGTCGTCCATGGAGAAGGCTCGCTGCAGGAGACAGCGGGGGAAGACCATGCCACGTGACCCCACCCCCACCTCCTTCAGAGCCCCTCCGCTGGGATCAGGCCCTCGGCTCCTCCTTCAGCCCTCCAGGTGGAAGGTAAAACCTCAGGGCCTGCCCCCCTCTATCACAAGAAAGGAGGATCCCACGGGGTCACCGCCCTCCCTCATTCCCATCCCTCTGGCCAACGAGGGCCACAGTCAGGCGCCTGGAACACGTGGCCCTTCCTCCCCACCCACTTGGGTTCCCTAGCAAGCCCCAAAGCCCAGTGAGACAAATGGAAGAAAGCGGGCGCTCTCCCTGCTAACCTCGCCCTCCACCTTTCCCTTACTATCCTGAGGGCGCAGAGGCAAAGGGAGGAGAGTAACGAGAAGGAAACTGAAGGAAGGGCAGAGGGCACGGGCACCACCTCCCGGCTTGCTACCCACCCTCACCCCCCAGCTCTCACCCTGCCGATCAGGCCTCCTGGGGCCCTGGCCCGGTCTCAGGAGGGGTGGGACACTCCCAGACAGGTACCCAGAGAACCAGGCTGGGAAGAGCCCTGTTGCATCTATCTGATGCTCCTCAGGGACAGTAGGGTGGGCTCACTGAGACTCCCACCACCAAGAACCCTATTCCCACCCAGCCCCGGTCGGACCCACTTTATATCCTACCCTGTCACAATAGTAGGCTGCCTGAATGTGCCTGGTTTGGGGGTGACGTGTCGACACCCCGTCTGCAGAGTGCTGGGTGTCTGCATCACTGGTGATGGGGTGCATGTGCCTGGTTTGGGGGTGATGTGTCCACACCTCGTCTGCA